CTCCATCACAGCTTCGCCCGCTCCATCTCAGTTTCAGCCGCTCCATCACGGCTCCCCCTCCGTGAAGTGTCTCCTCTTTTTTATCCCCTCACAGCTTTGCCTGCCCCACCGCAGAACCCTCGTACCCTGGCGAGGCCGTGGTGGGAGCCCTGAGGGGAGCCATGAGCTGTCTGACCTATTTTTGCATCTGCTTTGCCTCTGTGGAGCCTCAGTGACTTCACGGAGCTCAATAAAACCATGAAAGTCAATACACAGTCAATATACATGAGGGAAATGGTTTAATTCCTCTGTACAAGCAGAACATCTGGATCCACTGCAGTAGAGAAAAGAGAGGCTGGGACAAGGTATGTTGTCTTTCTCATCTAAAACCAAGAGCAAGCCCTGTGAAGCAGATGGGCTCAGGACAACATAACCTTCTTCTTGGTGGTCAGTGTCTGAGATGTGCTACTTCTGAAAAATTTAAAACTGCTTCTCTTCCTTCTCTGCAGTTGTACAGTGTATTATCAACTCCGAGGCTTACTATTACCAAAAATCCACCTTGTTCAAGTGGTAACAGAAGGTGCTGCTGTCCCTTGGAATCCTCTTTTAGAAAATCTATATATTGATATAAAGCAACAGCAGAAACTTKCCAACAATCCCTACCATGTTTTATTCATCCAAGTAGTCTAATCAGCATTTAAATTAGGTAAATTTCAAGACCACTTCAGTCAAAGCCCTGGACCTAGGCCGTGCTGGGAATTGAGCAAGTGGGGATGTGGAAGTAAATGGTAAAGCTATCTCTGTGTTCTCAGAGCTCTGTGGAAACTTCAGCCATGACGTGCTTATCTAYGTTATTAGAGAAGCTTTGGCTTTGATAGATTTTTAGAAAGTCAGTACACTTTCTTTCTTGTTGCTTCTTCATGGCAGAAATTCATCCCCAACCAGTAATGCTGCTGGGGGCTGCAGCTCCCCTCGGAACTTGCTTTGTCCTCCAACATGGATGACCAAAACCAAGAAGGGTCTTTCATGTTTTTAGCTCTTTTTTTGGCTAAAAACTGGTTGGATTGCACTCTAAGTAAGGTAGTGATGCTGTGAGGGAATTGCAGGTGGCTGCTGCAGGAGTTGGCAACTTGGGGCATGTGGGTTTTTCCACTGAAACACAGAATATCCTTGTTGAAAAGGACACACATAGATCATCAAATCATGCAATCCCAAGATCCCTGASRCTGGAAAAGCCCTTCCAGCCCAAGGAGTCCAGGCTGTGCCCATCCCCACCTTGTCCCCAGCCCAGAGCTCTGAGTGCCACCTCCAGCCCTTCCTTGGACACTTCCAGGGATGGGCACTCCAAAGCTCCCTGGGCAGCCCCTGCCAAGGCCTGAGCACCCTTTCCATGCAGAAATTCCTGCTGATGYCCACCCTGAGCCTCCCCTGGCCCAGCCTGAGGCCGTTTCCCCTTGTCCTGTCCCTGTTCCCTGGGAGCAGAGCCCAATTTCCCTTTGGCTGCCTCCTCCTGTCAGGGAGTTGTAGAGAGTGATAAAGCCACCCCTGAGCCTCCTTTAGGATTCCAACTCCTTTTAACATGGTTTTTTTTACTCCTTTTAACATGGTTTTTCTACCAGCAAGAGCAGGTAGAAATAAGCAGCTGTGGAAAAATGAGTGGGAACATGAAATATGCAGCCAGGGATGCTTCCAGCTGAGAGCTGTGTCCAGAGAGCCACCAGTATTTGTTAWAATCACAGGTATTKGTTATAATCACAGGATCCCMGAACAGGTCTGGTTRGAAGGGGAGCACAATGGGYACCTGGTGCCAYCTCCCTGCTCCAGCAGGGCCATCCCAGAGCTCAGGGCACAGGACTGTGCCCACACAGCTCTGGAAYATCCCCAGGGARGARACTSCAGCCCCTSTCTGSACAATCTGTGCAGGGCTGGGCACTGCCCAGGGCACAAGTTGTGYCTCCTGTGCAGGGGGAGCTCCCTGGGCTCGGTCCCTGCCCGTCCCTCRGGTGCCATCRCCTGCTCAGAGCCCTYCCTGCAGACACTCAGTCACATCCTGCTGGCACCGCTGGCAGCGTGGAATGATGGCATTGTAATGATCTATCCAGAAAAGCTTAGAGAAGATTAGAAAAGCAAAGAATAAAAGGAGGCATCCTGTGGAAAAGCCCGAGCAGCACAGTGGTGACACATGGGGTTATAAAACAGTTTGGGCAAAAGCATAAGCAAAACATCCCCAATGCTGAGTATACACATTTTCAAATAATGCTTCACTACTGAATAGATCCTGGCTTGAAGCTAAGGAAACAGAGTTATCTGTCRGAGCAGCAAGCTCATAGTTAACAAAAACATCTCCAGTCTCGGCTTAAAGGCTGAGCTTTAGGCCCACTGCACATCTAAGGGAGACCTGTGGTTTATAAAGTCAGACTTTACTCTGTGCCTCCATAGTCAGCCTATTGCTTCTGCAGCTCAGAGTTTTCAGTGAACAAATAAATTTTCATGATCTGTTYAGTCCACTAATGAAATTCTGTTGGAAAGTGTGTACCTCACCTGTTCCCATCTCCTCAATATCCAATAGCAAGTGTTAATGCAGTTTATGTTAATGTTAATGTGCTAAGGCTCAAACTGAGTCGGCAAATACTTTAATGCTGAGAGAGAAAGGGGAAGGAAAACATGGGAATAAGTAAGAGGTTTAGACCTTCTGGGCAAAGTTCTGGGCTCTCTGTTAGAGCAGGACAGTGCGACTTAGCTGTCTCCCAGTGACTCTGTGCAGGGCTACTTGGCCCATTTCCTRTGGTCATGTGGTTTATACTAGACATACTTAACCACAAATCACTTCTAGCATACCACTTCATCTTTTATAACAAAACCTACACTGTGGGTAGTTTGTGATGGCTGGAAACACAGCAGTGTTTGCTGGAAACCTATTGAGGRTATTTTATAAATACCAAGAAACATATCCATTCCATCTTCTGCATAATTATTCGTTGTGAGGAATAATTAGTAGGAAAAGGATTTTGCATATTACCAGCAGCATGCATGTGAGCTTCTGTGTGTGAGGGAGAAAAAGAGAACATAGAGTTTTTTTTAGAGATTGCAAACATGAAAGGTAATTAAGTAAAAACTGTTTTGTGTTCCCAGTTTCCATTCCAAAAAGAGATTTCCATGTTCTGAGTTGTCAAGGGCACATTTACCCCACACTGGATCCTTCTGTGCTCCTATCACGTCAATTCCTATTGTACCCCATGAAATTGTTCAGTTACATGTTTTGAATGGTTTCACAGGATRTTTTCTACTACAACAAGGAAAATCTTATCAATAAGATATCATTCTATGAGGARTCATGACACCTCCAGTTCATACCCCAAAACTCTGGACAAAGCATTTAAAAAACAACTACTTTGCCATTTTCGCCCTCTACAAGTATTGTGATGTTCTTTTTTGGTCCATATTGTGTCTTATTTACAAACATGCCTATACCAAATGCAATGTCATCAGATTGTTCTCTCTTCTGTTCTCCTTTATTGTTTTTGTTCCTTTCCATCTTYGGGTCTGGCGATGCTGAGGGCAGTGAGTTCATGACTCACATTTCCATTCAGCAGCATTTTTCTGTTCTCTTGCAGTGCAATCAAATAGTCCYGTCCTGAATAATTTCCTTGTTTCTGCTTCATCTATGGATTTTCTGTAGAGATGCATCAATTTCCAAAMCGACTCTATTAAAAATGCAACTAAAAAGGTTAATGCACCACCCTCTTCCGAAAACACCTTTTTTCTTATAAACCCCTCCTGATGCTCAGTGCTTGAAAGGTCCTGAAATAGTCATTCACAGCAGTGTATTTCTTTAGCAGCAAAAGAGCAGAGAAAACAAATTTTGCTGTGTCCCCAGCTGAGTGTCTTCCATTACTGGTCTTTCCAGGAAAGAAGGAAATGCTCCCATTGCCAGTCTGAGCATTGGGGTAATTCCTATAGCACAGAACTTACTGCCTGCAGCTGTACAAGTGAGGAATGGTTTCAGCTCTCTCTAGAATGCTTTTAAACCCAATGATATTAATTACATGATCCAGGGAGGAAAGGTGTCAGCCTCTAATTTTGTGTGCTGCTTTCCTTCTCAGGCAACCTCATTCCTTTACTGTCAGATCTCTAAATAAGGATCTCTCCCTGCTGGCTGGCAGCCATTCCTTGTTATCTAACAGCCAGCCATGGTTTTAGGAGAAAAAAATAATCACAGAATCACAGAAAGGTTTGGGTTGGAAGGGATCTTAAAGATCATCCAGTTCCAAACCCCTGCCRTGGGCAAGGACRTCTTCTGCTAGACCAGGYTGCTCCCAGCCCCAATGTCCAGCCYRGCCTTGGGCACTGCCAGGGATCCAGGGGCAGCCACAGCTTCTCTGGGCACCCTGTGCCAGGGCCTGYCCACCCTTCCAGGGAACAATTCCTTCCCAATATCCCATCTGTCCCT